AGGGAAGGAGCAGGCACAAAATACGCTTATCGGCAGGAAGCTGACAAAGAGGGGGAGAAGGTTTTTGAAGGTTTGAGGGGTTGGACAGGGGTCCAATGCAGGGCGTGCAGGGGCAAAGAGTGGGGGGGGGCGAGGGGGGCGGGGGCGATGGAGGGGGGGTGGGGGGTTGGGTTGGGGGGAAGGAGACCGGATCCTTTGGGTCTGCTTGTTCCAGACGCTTCTCGGCAGGAAGCCGAGGCGAACTTTGCTATAAAACTTTCCGAAGCTGCTGAACCTCAAGCCCTGAACCCTAAACCCTAGTAACCCTAAGCCCCAAATCCTAAACCTTAAACCCTAAACACTAAACCCTAGTAACCCTAAACCCTAAACCCGCAAAGGTTGGCTTGGTCCTGGCCTTTGCCGCGTTCGCGGAGGCCGGTCTGGGGTGGTGCAAGGTTCACAGCTTTAGGCTGTAGGGTTTAGGGTTTAGGGTTTAGGGGTGTTGTTTAGGGTTTAGGGTTTATACAAGCTTTCCTACACCCCCCAACTACCTTAGGGGTTGAGGGGGTTTAGGGGGTTTGAGGGTTTAGGGGAGGCCATCGGACTTCATAAGAATACGACCTCATATGCGCTGGTGGGTTAAGGGTGTCGGGTTTTCATGCGTCTTGCGGTTCGGTGACGGTTTGCAAGTAGACCAGAAGCAAGTACTCCTTCATAAGTAGTTTACCAGGGCCGTCGGAAGTACTCTCCACGAACCTGTGTGCAGGTCAGAAGGCCTTAGCTCAAGTCTGGGAGGTGCTTTGCTACACCTCAACTGGGTTCTTGATTATAAGGAAACTCTAAACCCTCAATTCTCTGTCCTAGAGGGCTTAGGGTTTAGGGTTTAGGGTTTAGGGTTTAGGGTTTCGGGTTTAGGGTTTAGGGTTGAGGGTTTAGGGTAAGGGAGCGGTTCCAGGTCTTCGTATATCTGCTCGGATGAGACTGTAGCCTTACTCGCCCAATGGCGAGGCCCTCGATCGCTGGCGGAGGCCTGGGGGCCTATGGCTTGGCCCTAAACCCTAAACCCTAAACCCTAAACCCTAAACGCCCTAAACCCTGAACCCTAAACCCTAAACCCTAAACACTCAAGGCCAGGATAACAAGAAATTGTACCCGTTTCAGTACGAGCAGCTCGTACAATAATCCTTCATCCTTCACAGGTTTTGCCAGACCCTCAAGGCATTACAGTTACCCCCATTTCCCCTTGGCCGAGGGGGTCGAGACCGGACATTGGAGTTTGACGTGAGTTCTGGTTTGTTCCGGGCCTCTCGGATAGTATATATGCTACCAATAGGGCTCATAAATTTGCGCAACCCCAAACCCTAAACGCTAAACCTTAAACCCTAAAACCTATGTGCGGTAGCTCTGACGACGACCGTTCAACGTCACAGGACACCGCTGGAACTCACCAGATTCTTGCACCTCAAAACCTAAACCAAAAAGCGTCCTCTAGCCCCAAACCCTAAACCCTAAACCCTAAACCCTACACCCGTGGAAGCCTCGTTCCGTTAGGCAGCCCCCCTCGACGGACTGTTTGTCAGCACCCAAGTCTGGCGAAGGCCTGCCAGGGTCTTGCGACTAAGGGTTTAGGGTTTAGGGTCTATTTAGGGTTTAGGGTTTAGGGTTTAGGGTTTAGGGTTTGGGGTTTAGGGTTTAGGGTTCAGGGTTCACGTTTCAGGGTTCACGGTTTAGCCCCAGACTTACTGGTTCTTAGCATAGAGGGTGGAGTTGTGAGGGTATCTGCACATGGTGCTGGGCAATGAAGTCCATTCACCCTATCTTTTATCTCGTTAGGGTTGCCCTAGACCCCAAACCCTGAACCCTAAACCCTAAACCCTAATGTCGAGGCCCGAGGCTAGTTCACGTCTCGCTCCTTCGTAGATGAGGGCAGCTCGCGTTTATATACCTGGGACTCTCTTAACCTACAGATTTATAATATGGTTTATACCTTGGGATGTTCCCCCTTATACTAGCAGTCCAGGGATTAGAGTACCCCCCCCCCCTTTATCCCCATTAACCCACGACACAAGGAATCACCAAGTCATTCTCGGCTGCTGGTAACCCCCCATGGAGGTGACATCACGCAGCGTGCCGCGGGGTTTACTTGGGGAGGTTCATGGGTACCTATAAGTAGACTTATACGTAGGGGTAACTGTGGTTATAACCTTATTTGGGGTACTTATAAGCCTGCTTGTACGTACCCATGAACCTCCAAGTAGTCGCTTTGTTTTTGCCTTGCCTGCTAGAAGTACGCGTCGGGGAGGGACCGCCCACGTTGGGGAATCACACTTTAAGCGGAATCACATTTTAGGCAGTTGCATGGAACAATTGAAGGCTCTTGTTTCGATTTGGGGAGGTCCACATTGGGGAAGCACACGTGAGTGTCTTTGAACTGTTGCAAGCATCTCGAGGGGATTTGCTGTAGAAACTGTCTTATTGAGTTCCAGCGTCCACCAGGCGTCATGACTTGTGAGCTCCCCCGCAATATGACCGACATGCAGCGTCCACATTGGTGTTAGCACATGTTGAGTGTTCATTCTTGCCGTTGATATGTCTTTCTTTCCAGGGGTGTCCACACTGAGGCATGTGGAGTTGTATCAGAACGAACGTGCTATTTGAAGGTTTTCTCAAAGAAACAAAGGGTTCCGCTCGATTATTTGAATTCGTTGGTCCGAGCGATGGAACATGGAACATCATGGAGCTATCCTGCCACCCTTCAGGTGATGATTGGGATTTGGTGTTGAGGGTTTTGGTTCGGAGACCGATCCTTAGGGCCCCAAAGGTCTGGAGGTTTTAGGGTTTAGGGTTTAGGGTTTAGGGTTTAGGGTTAGGGCTTCGGGTTTCAGAAGAGGTTTAGGGTTTAGGGTAGGGTTCAGGGTAGGGTTCAGGGTAGGGTTCAGGCAGGGTTCAGGGTTTAGGGTTTAGCCCGGAGCCCCACAAAGCGACATTCATGGGTACGCAGCTGGGGTTTAGGGTTCAGGCTTTAGGGTTCAGGGTTTAGGGTTTGGGGTTTGGGGTTTAGGGTTGGCGGACTTTAGGGTTTTAGGGGTTGTCGAAGTAGAAAGAGGCTATACCAGTGACTCGACAAAAGTCACAGCAACCCAAAAAGGAAACCCCAGAAGGATCCTGTTACGCGGTACCTAAACCCTAAACCCAGCGGCGGGCCCCTGAAACGAGATGGCAACTCCTGGCAATCCGCAGTTTAGAGAAGGTGTGTGGTCAACAGAACTTCCGCTTGTGTAAGAAGTCTCCCCCTCCCCCCTTGGCCAAGGCCTACGACCCTAAACCCTAAACCCTAAACCCTAAACCCTAAACCCTAAACCCTAAACCCTAAACCCTAAACCCTGAAGAAGACTGGAAGAGGCCGGTTCTTCGCAGACTCACGGCCCGCGAAGTGAGGAACTCGCAAGCAAAAACAAGGTGCTCGGGGTAGGGCTTGGGGTTTAGGGTTTGGGGTTTAGGATTAGGGGTTTAGGGGTTAGGGTTTTGGGTGTAGGGTTTATGGTTTGGGGTTTAGGGTTTAGGGCAGAGCGTTAATGGCCACCTTCTGCAAGTGGACACGTGCGTTGATGTCTGCCTTCGGCGCTTTGAAAGATCAATTGTCATCCCGAGACTGCCAAGAAATTCAATCAATGGAAAACAAAGGAATATATCAAATATCTTATATACTAGATGTTCTTTGACATCAAGAAAATTATATATCATCTCAATTTTTACGTGAGGACCTGCTCTCCCACTTTTGTGGTTTCTTTTTCTATATTCCCTTTACCGGTTTCTTTTCTATGATTTTCGAATGCTCATGATTGGATCTCATAAAGATGAAATTCGTTCCTAAAAATATTTATAATTAATATTTTTGGGCATAGAAACCATTTATATCGATTTTCTTAGCATTCTATATTGTGGGAATCCATCAAGAATATTGATCATGTATCATTATCGAAATTATTTGAAATCGATGAATTATATTATATATATATATATATATATATATCATCTATATTTCGAGATCGTAGACCCCCCAGACAAATAACATTTATGGCTCACGACTTATCGACCCTTCAAAATACAAAAAAAGAATGAGAAGAAATCGAATGATATTATTTGATCTTTCATATTCTATAGAAAGATCGCTATTTGATGATGTAGCCGAAATAAATCTCTTGGATATTGAGAAGAATCTGGCATAAGAATCTTCTGATCCCAAAAAATAATAATTAGGAATCAAAGAAATGAAATTTAAAAGCCCATCAAAATATAGACACAAATTTCGTGTTCTCCAAGATACCCGGCCATGCTTAAAGACCCACTACCACTCCCAATTAAGTGGGACGTCCTGGAAAGATGAAAAGGCACTCATGAATCCGAATTCCTAAAAATGCGCGGAGTGCTAAACTCACAAAAGCTCGGACTTTTAAGCCAATATAGGGCTGCAGTGTTAACACGTATTGGGCTCAAATACTACTCAAGGGAAAGGCTGCACAAACACTGTACTATCTGCGCACCCCCCCTGCAGCTTTGCCTTGTCTAGGCTGCTGCGACTTTCTTGTGAGCACACACTTTACATTTACGCAGAGTCTTGAACCCTTGGCGTAAGTGCTCACATGTAGCATTTGTGTGGTATACTGACATGTACTTTGTCAGGTATACCTTCGTGGCTTCGTTGTTCTTGGAAATTTTCAGCTTCCACAAAAGAAACACGTTGAGTGTCACACTGCTTACCAAAAGGAAAACCACAGACACGCTGAGGTACTGCTCCACAGTTCCTCGTTCCACAAGCTGCAGAACTGTGACCATTGCACTTCTCACTACAAGGGCTTCTCCCATGTTCAGTGAGGTAGCTCCCTCCGGTAAGGCTTATACACGACACTACACAGTTGTCTGAGAGAAAGTCTTGCGGGAATCTTAGGCTTCCACTTGTTTGGCTTTCTCTCCGCTTCGTCAGCAATCGTACTGACCCTACTCAGTGCTGTTCTTCTTACCTGCTCGTCCATGCCAGCTTTGCTGAGTTGGACCATCCCTGTGAGTTCACAGGCTTGTCTGACTTCTTCGCCTGTCTTCAAATGTTTGGTCAAACAATCAGCAGGATTCGCAACGCCTTTCACTTTTCTTATGATGACCTGTTTTGTTTTCACCAATTCTTGGATGTACAGATGTGCCAAAGAAATGTATCTCATCTTTCCCACACCTATTCGTTTGGCTGCTTGCAAGGCTGCTGATGAGTCGCACCAAATGCGAGGCGTGGAGACCGGAAGGCCAAAATCGTACCTAGCTAAGTTCTGAATGTACACACTTGACTGGGCGCAGTGATTCAACGATCTCAACTCTGCCTCGCTTGAGCTTGTCGCTGGGTTCCCCGACTGAGTAGTCGAGTTTGCTTCAACCACTGTCCCACCAAGTACAAGAACCTCGCCTGAGGTAGATTTCCTTGACTCTGTGTCTCCCGCATAGTCGCTGTCACAGTAAGCGTGCAGCGGTAGCTCCCGCTCTCCTGCGGCTGAGCTTTCGAGATCCTCCACCTTTGTCAGGTGTCCCAGATCTCGTATCCCCTTGAGATATCGCCCCAGCACTTTTAGGTTCGCCATGTCTGCCTTCCGCGGATCTTTCATTCGACGCGCTAACTCTTTCACAGCGAACTTCACGTCGATCCTGTCCTGGGACAAGTAGATCGCACTACCTACACACGATTGGAAAATCTTCTTCTCTTTCTCGTCCAACAATTGCTCGCTGTTGTTGTCCAGATCCAATTTTCTCCCGGGCACTGGGCTGCTCTTTGCATTCTCGAGGTTCAACAGTTTGAGGATGTTGTCGGTGTGCTTGGCATTGGGTTTAGTCAACACGGTTCCTTCCACACTGATCTTCTCTCGTCCCAGAAACTCTGAGCTTGTTTTGCCATGCTTTTCTGGTCATTCAAACTCTCCCACTTTCACTTTGCACCCATGCTTGGGCAATTGTACCTTCAGAAGATCATCCAAGTCATTTTCTGGACCGGTGACGTCAAAGTCGTCAATGTGGTGTATCACCGCAATCTTTGTCTTCGTGCACCTAAACACACATCCATCCAACCGGCCTCGGACGAAGTCATACCGATCCTTGGGCAACTTGCTTACAAGTATTTCATCCAGCCTGTCTCTGTACTGGCTGGCGGCTGGTTGCCTCCCATAGATGTTGCCATCCACTTGCCACACCAAGTGTTCCTTTGGAATGTTTCCGATTTCATCTCGCTTGTCTGCTGGCTGTCTGGATAGCCACACCTCCAGGTTGTCCAGCCACTCTCTTGGCGGCTTCATATACACCGGTTGTCCCTTTTCGTCGCCTCCATCTCGGGCGATGAGAAAGGCTGACGTGAGGTCCGCCTTCACTCTCGGAAAGTTGTGGTAGAGGCTGTATACCTCCAGCATCTTGGTTGTGCTGTGTCCTGGAGTTGGGCAAAAGTTGTTTTGTCCTTCTGATGAGTTCTTGTCTGCACCATTGTTTCGCTTGAAGTCTTGGCAGGTGAGTCGTGACTTGGCTATGCCACTGCTCACCTTGTCCACCCAACAATGTCCAAATACTTTTATTTCTTTCGGCAACGCCCTACGATCGCGGGGCGTGAAAGCCTTGAACATCTCATCCAGCTTCTCGATCTCCTCGAGTCGGGCTTTGTGCCTAGCCTCTTCATCCACCACGCACGCGTCCAAGTAGTCCGCCACCGAAGATATTTGATCTCTCTCTTCGGTTTCTTCCAAGATTGCGCTCATTGTGTCTTCTATTGTGGTAGCACCCACAGGTGTGCTTAAACCCTGGGTGTCGCCCACTTCCTTGCTAGGAGATCCTACATCACCTCCTAACTCTGGCTTCTCTGTGTTCTCCTCATTTCCTGAGTGTCTCGACCTTGACCGCGAGGTGGGCGAACTAGAGCTCGATGAATTGCTGTCTTCACCTCTCCTGGCACTGCCCTTGAGGCTGCTGCGGCTGATGACGCTGATTCTGACTTTGCCTTTGTTGTGGCCTCTGTTCTCCTGACTTTTCCAGAGCGGCTCGGCATTGTTGTTGTCCTTTTCGCCTCGTCCGCGTTGGTCATGTCTGCGTCAATTTGTCGCGCCACGCCTCCTGCATCCTCGGCTTCCTTTTGCGTCCGGTGCACGCTTGGAGCAGGCACCGGCGGCACTACTATCATGGTCTTAGGCTCGTCTGCAGCTGGCTCGATGTCAGTCGGCTCATACTCCGGGTCACTCATCTCTGGCGCTATCTGCGCTGTCACTTTGCTCCTGATCTCCTCTGGCTTGCGCTGGTCGGCCTTGTACACCGTGTTCCAAGGAACTCCCGCTGCCTTGTCCAAGATACTCGTTTGGTAACGCCTTCCGCGGGTCATCCTCTTGATGGTTCTAAACGTCTGAGCTCCTGCACTCGTCAACAGGATGTGTTCATCGGAGCTAGCGGTCTTTCCGACGTAGATCCCATACATCCATCTGGAAGCACTCTTGACCCCAGACTTCTTCGCTGAATATTTTCCAAGCGCACATTCACCAAAAGGAAGGCATTCCGAGATGTAGTCATAACCCTTGAGCACTCGGAATGGTGTTGTTCGGGACTGGTTCACGTGGAACCTCGGCAACGACCAACTCACAAATCTCACAATCCAAGGAAACAGGATGTCCGTGGTTTGTATCACTTGCTCGCTGTAGTTATCCCGGAGATTGGCCACCCAAGTCCTTACTTTGCCAGCAATGAGTCCATTGACCACCTCACCGTCTGCCAAACTCTGTGAAGAGTACCTCGGGCTCCTTCTCAATGCCACCACGTCCATACCCATCCTTTGCTGCACCTGCTCGAACACCTTCGCCAGTGCACTTTCCTGGTCGATCTGAATTGTCACTTTCTTCCAACCCAAGTCCTTTATCCAGTCCACCATTGCATTGACCGCGTACATGTTCCTCTTTGTGCCTTTCGAAGGCACCTGCGCTGCAAAGGGGGCATTGGCTGTCCTTGTCGATCGCTGTCATAACAATCGCCAAACCTTTCAACTCCTCTGAGTCCTTGCTCTTTTCAACCTCCTCCTTGTTCTTTTTTGCTTCCCCTCAGCTGTGAAGTACATGTAGTCGCTGTAAATGATGTGCTCCTTCGGATCCTCACGTTGTCGGCGATGTGCTTTCTCACGTCCTTGCCCTTCAACACAAACCTTGCACCAAGGTTCAAAGTTTGCATGGTGAAGCTCGGGCTCAGCGACTTCCTCGGGGCTTGGCTCCACTGGTTCTGCCATGATGGGCTATTGCTTCGCCTGTTCTCGCTCCTTGAGTTCCCACAGTGTCATCGCATCGTCGGCCAACTCATCTCCCTCGTCATCTTTGCCAAACGGGTTCTCCAAGTCCATTCATTGGGATTCTTGAGCCTCCTGGGGCTTAAGCTTGAAGATGGTCTCACCTGTCCAATACCGCAGCAAAGATTCTCTGGGGTTCTGGGCTCCAAACCAGAGATCCTCGAAGCTCTCGCTTGCTGTCCGATCCACCCACTTGGCCTCAGTTGCTCTGACTGGTTCGAAGTCGCCCACGATTACTGGGCAATCGTCAGCATCCGCAGGGCAAAACTTCCTGAGCCTTGGCACCACATGAACACGGATGACCAAATCGCGCTCTGTCTTCCAGTAGTCTACTGGCTTCTTTTCGCTGACTGGAGCTCGTGAAGACGATGAGGTGGCACCCTCCAGCGCTGCAATGCGCTGCGCAGTGACGCCTGCCTCGCTGGGCAAAAGTTTCTCAACCTTCAGATACCACCTTTTTCCTTTCTTCACTAATGGGTATCTCTGCCCATCTTTGCTAAGATTGCTCTCTTCTTGACCAAACGTGACCTCGAACCCTTTGTAGACAAGGCTGTGCACACTGAGCAAAGTTTCACTGGCATCGGCGACAGTCAGGTCCACTTCGCCCACTGTACCGTCGTCCAGCCTCGCCTTGGGATACTGCTTGCCATAGATTCTCAGCGCGGTGCCTTGCACTGAGAAGAGCTGCTTCCCTTGTGGCATTGGCTCAAAGTTGTCACTAAACTCTCCATTTCGCGCCACACTTTCACAAGCACCCGAGTCGATCAACATGTAAACATCCTCACTGTGGTCGCGCACGCCACAGATGCGATCCGTCACCGCAAACAACATGTTGTTGTGATCTACGTCGTCGACTTGCTCAGATATGGAACCTACACCTCCCGTGGACGCCTGGGCCTCCTGATTTGTCTTGTCCTCGGAAATGTCAGACACCTTCCACCAACAATCCGCAGCGATGTGACCATATCTTTTGCACACATGGCATTGTTTCCCCGCGTGTGGGTTTGTTCCTGCTCCTTTTCCTTTTCCTTCCTTCTTTCCTTTGTCATGCCCAGACTTCCCCGCATCCTTTCCACCTGGCTTGCCACCACCACTTGCTTTTCCTCCTTTTCCTTTTCCACCCTTGTCTCCTTTTCCGGAGTCCTTTCCGCCCCGATCCCTCCAGCCGCGATTGTCGCCCCACTTGCCCGAGTTCCCACCTTGGTCCCACTTGCCTTTGTTGCCCTCCTTGCCCCCTTTTCCTTTTCCTGCCTTTACAACTCCTATGTCCATGGGGGCCACCATCATCAACATGAGACTTCTTTGGCGCACCAAAACTCGAGCCGTGGGGTCGCCTCCAAAGGTTTCGGGATGTAAGGTACTGTTCTATGTACTCCTTGGTTTTGCTGTACGTGTCCAAAGTGTTGTTATGCAAGAAAATCATCTGCTGAATTTCCTTTGGGGCAACATGAACCAAAACGCTCAGCTTATCGTCGGGTTCTACTTTTCGATTCTGCTTTTCAAACTCGTCCATCTCAGCCTCCCACTGGTGAAAGGCTTCAGACCATTTGTTGATGTCACTTGGGAATTGAGGGTTCATGAGATGTCTTCTCCACACCGGGCTCTTCGTTCGGTTGCTCGGCTCGTTTGTCTTACTCAGCACGCGCCACACCTCCAGCCCATTTCCGTCAGGAACCTGAGTGATCAGCTGCTGAGTCTGCTCAGAACAGTAACCGACAAGAATCGCACACAACGCTTGACTCAATTGCAAATCTTCAGAGTGACATCATCACTGTCATGGTCAATGCTCTCTTTCTGCTTGCTTGCCTAGTTCAACAAACCAGGGTACTTGTCATGTATGGTTCCTAGCCAAGACAGAAAATCGAAATTCAAACGATCCAGATATTCCTGTATACATGCCAGGGTGCAAGAGACTTCTGCTCCCAAAAGCACCAATTAAGAAATGAAGTGAAACCTGTAACCTGAGTTTTTGATTCTTCCATTCTGAAACCGAGAGAATCCCTTATAAGGGAAAAGAACATCCACTCACGAAATCCCACAGTGAAACAAGCCACGCTTGGGCAATGCACCCGCCACCACCCCCAATTAAGGGAAGATGTCAGTGGATCGGAGACACCAAAACAACGAAAGAGGGATTCTCCCAAAATGAAGAAAAGAGACTTCTGCTCTAATCCATGAATTCAGAAACTAAGTCGAGCTCATTCCTATCAAATGGGATATCAAGGATTCACTGGCAAGTTCAGTCGTAGATCAATAGACCATTCCATCCATCTGCGCGGGGGAGTCCTGATCATGTCTCCGAATATATTTGGAGGAATTGGATGGAACGATCCCACGTGGATTGCGAGCCCTTGTTTCCATCTCTAGCTCGTTGTAAGCAAATGTGTCCGTGTTGCTGAAGAATGAAAGAGATGCGCTGTCTCAAGAGTTGACCCGTCGACCCCGGTTTACGCAGAAGATTGTCGTCGGCTGCCCGACAAAGTGATGTCAAAAGACGATCCCCTTCCGGCTCCAAACCTCCCGAATGTTCAAAGATCAATGGTTCAAATCCTACGCCCTGAGCATGACATCTCTGAGCTGTCGCACGATCTCTACGCTTGTTCTCCGCCCGAGCTTTGGCAGCCGACAAACTTTCACGTCCCAGATCCGATGACCGAAAAGGAGAAACAATCGAGATATCAAGGGCAATCTTCGGCATCAGACCCCACACAGATTGCCTACAAAGAGCAGTGGGGACAGTCAAGATATCCGCCGGGCGTTGAGCAGTCAAGTCAGGGAGAAGATGATTGGGTTCCAATTTGCACTGTAATTTCCCTCCCTGAAGAGTTCGATAAATTTCGTCCCGAATCATATTATGCAGGACCGTTTTTCCTCCAAGCATATGACAAGCGAGCGTGTGGTGTCCAAAAGAATCCTGAGATTGGGGGCATCGTGGACATGCCGTATCGCCTTCAAATACCTGTCTGCCAAGTCGCATAGAAAGAATATCGTGGAATGCAACATTAGACAAATATGTATCAAAGGCATGGCTTGGGATAGCTCGAACCCATCCATCCGCCCATGGAAAAATATGCTTCCACCGCTCCCAGTCTTCTTTTCGACCGGAGAAAGATGGGGGTTTGGGAATGTTCCTTGGATCCACCAGTCGCCCCCCGGGTCTCTCCTGCTTCTTGAGCTCGAGTAGCTCAGCTTGCTGTTTGGTGATTTCTGCCTGTTACCTAACAATTTGCTCACTCTGCTCCATTAAACGCGCGCCCATTTCAGCCATTTGTTGCTGCATCTGCACCAGTTGTTGTTCCATAGCTCTCAGTGCCTAGAAAGGTGAAAGGGAAAACTTGGAAAACCAAATCAAAGGGAAAATGAATTTGTACAGAACTATACACCGATCTACTCACGACCGTGCGCGGTAGCTCCCGCAGTCAATGGGGGTCTCTTCCCCACCTGCGTTCCCTCCAAGTCTCGGTCTCCCGCCAGTTGTCCCAGTCACCACGCTGCCACCTGTAGTTGGCGTGGTACGGCTGGTAGCGCTCCCACTGCTCGTTCCTGCGAGTCTCGTCTCTCCTCCAGATGTCGTTGCCGGCCCTGGAGTTGTACCACGAGGACGATCCTGCCGAGGTTGCTGTTGCACGGCTTGTGTCCTCTGTCACCGAAAGGTGCGTCATTGAGGACTCAGGTTCCTCTTCCACCTGGACCTCAACCTCCTCGTCGGAACTGTAGTACACGCTGGTGGCAGGATGAGTTGGAGCGACTGACTCGAACTCTGTTGTTGGTGCGTGGGAAAGCGTCGGCGCTTCCTCCACACTTTGTCTCTCCGATCCCTGTCGGTGAGTTACCGCACTTGTGCTTGACGAGGAACTGGGGGTAGGTCCTGCTGCCACGCGTCGAACAGCCTCGTCCCTCGCAAAGCTTGCCCTTGCCTGCTTTCCAGGTCTGTCCTCCAGAAAGCGTTGAGCAAAAGGGGTACCTTTGAAAATTGCGTCCCGTGCTTGCTGAGCACGGCGGTAATTTACCGAAGCTTTGTTCCTAGGCTCAAGCCCCGTCCACAGTGACCTCTCGTCACCCACGAACTCCCTCGCCTCAGGGATCGCGGCCAGGTTTTGCTGGCTTCCACCCTGCAAGGCAAGTCCCTCCAGGTAGCTGAGGTTCAACGCGGGAGCAGCTCTGGTTTCACGCGCCTCGGGCTGCTCCTGTCCTTGTTCCAAGGCTACCTCTTCGTTGTCCGCCTCCCTCTGCAGGCGTCTTGCTAGGCCACGAGCAAGTCGGCGTGCTATGGCCTCAGGGGATCTCGTGCTCTCCCCTTTTTCCTTTCCACCACCTTTTTCCCGTCTCTGCAGGATTGACCGGGTCCTACACACGGACCTCGGGAACGGAGCTGCAGCACCCCTAAAGGGGGTTATGCGGTAGCTCCCGCCTTTCAGGGGTTGCACCCCTTAGTAAGTCTCGGAGCCCTGGCTGCCGACCAGGAGCTCCGCTACCATGCGCGGGGTGCTAAACTCACAAAAGCTCGGACTTTTAAGCCAACACAGGGCTGCAGTGTTAACACGTATTGGGCTCAAATCCTACTCAAGGGAAAGGCTGCACAAACACTGTACTATCTGCGCAAAAAATGAAACGAAATCTCTCTAAAATGATTTCCTCGAATCCATTATCTTCCAAAATATTGTATCATCCGATTCATTCTATTCGTCCCCAACGGCCGCCCGATGAATGAGTCCCTCATCCAAAACAATCCCATGGGCCGCGTCTTCAGGGTGCAAGAGACTTCTGCTCCCAAAAGCACCAATTAAGAAATGAAGGGAAACCTGAGTTTTTGATTCTTCCATTCTGAAACCGAGAGAATCCCATACTAGGGAAAAGAACATCCACTCACGAAATCTCACAGTGAAACAAGCCACGCTTGGGCAATGCACCCCCCGCCACCACCCCCAATTAAGGGAAGACGT